TTGCGTGCAAGACTCCTATCCAGTTTGTGTCAGAGCAGTGAAGGTCTGTTAACTGGCTGCCCTGCTTCATAGCTCGCTGGGTGGTTTGCAGATGAATTTGGCGCAGATGACACTGCAGCTGCACCCCGCACAGCCCTGCTGCCAGATGTGCGGTGCTTGACCTTGCTCCCGCCATCAGCCAAAGCCAGGGAGGTCCCTGGACTTCATTTCACACGTTTTTTAGCGCGAGCAGATAGTCTCCAACGGAGGCTGGCAGCTTCCATCTCGCATCCCTCTGTTCCGGTGGTTGGACAGAGGGAGGGTTTGTACTGTGCAGATTTTTTTCTGCTTTTTGTATTGCAAAAACTTAGCTCTTTCTGATCGTTCTTTGCTCCTGGTAACCTTTTATTTTCTTTTAGTTTAGGGATGCATTGGCCTAAGTAGCACACAGGAGTTTGTTATGTACATTTTAATGCCACGTAGGCAGTTTTGATTTTGCAGTGCCTGTGGGATACAATTCCCTGACTATATAACCAGTGAAAATCCATGTCTGAGCTTCAAGAACCGGGTTTTCCCAGAAATGCTACTGTGCTCTTTAGCTACATGAAACAGCCAAAGACTGCAGGGAGTTGTGCGTGCATCTGTCCTTGTGTCGCACACCGACTTGCGTGTGTTTGCTTAGCTGGGGGTTTGGAGGAGAGGGAGGCTCAGTGCTGCCCACGTCTGCTTGTTTTGCAGTCAAGACGCTGGTGCTCAGGTGGACGCTGAAATGGAGAGAAGCCCCGTGGCAGCCTGCACCTTTTTTTGAGTCATTTGTACCCTGCCTCTTCGCACCACCAGCTCGTCCAGTGGTGGGTCTCCATCTCAGCCATTTCCTTTCCTCGCTTGCGCTTGGCGTTAGGAGGACACCTGGCACCAGCCAGGCTTTGTCTGCAGCCCTCGTTCCAGGTCCCTGGAGTGTGACGTGCTGACTCTTCCTTCGTTGGTGTTAATTGCTCCCATGTCATCTACATGGAAAATTCCCAGGATTCTTTCTGCTCTGTATTTAGACGGGATTTATTTTGGTCCATCCTGCTTTCCCTTTAACTGTGCCACCACCGTCTAGGGCCAAGTCCCTGTTGCTCTGTCTGCGCTCTGCTCGGTTGCGGTAGCAGGCTGCCCCTGCGTGGGTGCCTGGGACGAGAAGCTGTGTCTCACCAGTGCCACCTACCTCACCAGTTCCTGTAACACACAGCCTTTTGGTACTTCATGTCCTGCCCGAAATACCTGCTCTCCATGCAGTCTCGTAATTCACTGTGCTGCATGGAAAGCCAGTCCTTCTTCTGCAGTCCATGAACTGCTCTACTCTGCTGCGGCACACCCCTGCGGATCTGCGGTGTGGGAGTCCTGGCACGGGCGAGGCCAGCATCCTCATAATTTTGCGTGGCCCTGTGCTGGCTGGTCCCTGGTGGCAGCCTCCAGGCGTCGTGATGCATCCCCAGCAGCGTGCAGGGCCGGGCCGCCCACTGCCGTTCCCACACACCAGCGCCTGCTGCATGGGTGACGTGCCCCGCGGTGGTGTGTGTGGGACTAAAGAGAGTCTCTTGTCACAGGGGGGTCCTTGTTCCTGTGAAGTGACTCTGATTTTCATGGTGGGAAGGTACGTGCCAGCTGTGGAATCCATCTTCTGTTGCCAAAATGCTTATGGCCTGGCATGGATAGCGGCCATGCCCCCGGCGAGCTGCCTCACTGTGGGGCAGTGGCCTGCAGCACAGGTAGCATTGACAGAATCACAGAACCATAGAACCTCAGAGTGGTTTGGGTGGGAAGGGGCCTTCAAAGATCATCGAATCCAGCCTCCCCTGCTACTCACCAGATCAGGTTGCTCAAAGCCCCGTCCAGCCTGACCTTGATCACTTCCAATGATGGGACATCCCCAGCTTCTCTGGGCAGCCTGCTCCAGTGTCCACCCTCATGGTAAGCAGTTTCTTCCTATGTTCAGTCTAAACCTACCCTCTTTCAGTTTAAAACTATTGTCCCTTGTCCTGTCACTACAGGCCCTCGTAAAAATCTTTCTCTGTCTTTCTTATAAGCCTCCTTTATATATTGAAAGGCTGCAACAAGGTCTCCCTGGAGCCTTCTCTTCTCCAGGCTGGACAACCCCAACTCTCTCAGCCTTTCTTCATAGGAGAGGTGTTCCAGCTCTCGGATCGTTTTTGTGGCCTTCTCTGGACCTGCTCTAACAGGTCCATGTCTTTCCTGTGCTGGGGACCCCAGAGCTGGATGGAGTGCCCCAGGTGGGGTCTCATGAGAGGGGAGCAGAGGGGGACAATCCCCTCCCTCGCCCTGCTGGCCACGACGTTGTTGTGCCTGAGGGACAGGGAAGGGATAGCTTGATGTGCTTCCCACCCATTCTTGCTGCTGGCTGCCAGAACCAAGAAGACAGGAGGAGCCAGCAGCGTCTGGCAGGAGGGCTCGGAGGCAAGAAGATGGCATGAGAGCTTTGCACAGAGGGAAGGCAGGACTGGTGTCGCAGGGCTCCAGTTCCAGCAGCACGGTTTAGCAGTGGACTTGGCAGTGCTGGGTTAACGATTGGACTTGATGATCTTAAAGGTCTTTTCCAACCTAAACGATTCTGTGATTCTATGGCACTGGGTGTACCGCTGGGCTGACGGAGTCCAGGCTGACGGGCCTGAGACCCGGGAATGCTGGAGGGGCTGTGTGGGGGCCATAAGCAAAGAAGGCTGTTGGGGGAGCAGGTCCATCACGCTGCCCGTGGCATTGAGACAGGGCAGGGTAGACGCAGCACCACTCGTGAGCATGATTGACGAGAGTCCCTGGAAACTTCTTTTCAGCCTGTAACCTTCTGTGCAAGGAGACAGAGGAGGTGCCTGCTGTGCCACATCTAATGCTGGTCTGTTGTTGATGCCATGGTCTTCTATCCACCTTCCTGCTGCTGGCATTTTCTGTTTGCTTTCTCATGAATATTTTGCACTGTTCACAGAAGAGAGCATTTTGACTTTTTTTGTACCCATTAGGTGATGTTATTCCATGTGTTACTTTTGAGCAGAGGACAGCTTCGATTTATGAGTGTGAGCTCCAAGTCTTGTCCTTCCTGAGCCTGAGCCTGAGTCAATACTCACCCACAGGCTCCTCCTTGAGATGTTTTGCGTCTTACTGAAATGTCCAGTAACCTCCTGAAACATCCAAGAGAGCATCCACATCCTGAATGTTTGCTGCTTATCAAACCATCCTCCCCCCAAATAAGCAAGTAGCAGAGACTGGGAGTAGACATTTTCCATTGAGATCGTCACCCCTCTTGCTGTTTTCACATACTTTTCCCATTCTCTCAGCTACAAAATTGTGCAAAAATTGTTGTTACGTTTCTGTTCCCCATGTTTAAAGAAATGGATGCTTGTATTAGCTATTAATTCCTTATTAATTGATTTGGTAGTCTGTTGATATGGTGTACCCAATATGGAAAGACTGAACTCATCCAGCAAAGGCGGGATGCTGGGTTGTGAGCAGTTAGAAGCACGGGTTTACCTGTAATGTAAATGTGATATTGTTTTTGACTGAGCTATAAGATGAGCATGTGAAGAGCTGATGGTAGGTTTAAGAGAGTTGAATTTTAGTAATTTTATTATTTTGCATCCCACCGGAATTATTGAAAAGTCCATCCAAGTCATGAGAGGAATAACTAATACATGAGCTTAAGATGAATGGGAACTATAACTGAAGGATAAGAAAGCAAAGCAAAGGGCAGACCTAGGAGGGTGGGAAAGGCAGCATGTTCAGGGTATGGCCTTTGAAGCCAGCCTGTTTCAAAGCAGGTACTGTAACTGGAAGGATGATAAAACACTTCAGTGGCACTGGGAAGGCAATGTACCATGTACTGAGGTGTAGTGGACACAAGAAGGTTGTAAGAGAAGCCACATGTAGAACGACTGAAGCTTGGTGGAAACTTCTTCTCCCTTCTCTGTGTGAGTATGCATGGGTGGTGGCCTGGGCAAGTTTCCTTGTTGGAGAAGATCCTGGTGACTGAGGGAATGGGAGAGGTCTGGAAGTGGTCGCAGCTGGGGCAGCTGTGTGTAAGTGGTGGGCTGCCAAGAGGAGAGCTGGCAGCATGGCCGAGCAACCAGAAATGCCATGAGGGTTTGGGGGCTGGGAGGTTTTGTGGCAATGCCTTCTCATGCGGTGGTCCACTGGAGCGTTGAGGTTGCACTAAGGGACTTTGTTCGCTGCACGGCGCTCAGCTGGCACCTGCCATGAAATTGTATTAAAATGTAGCTTACAAAGCAACCGGGGCTTTCATAGTATTTCCTGTACCTGGTAATTTAGTATTGTATTGCAATTCAGGTCTCTTTGTCATTGTTGTAGTCAAAACTGAACGAGACCCTGTTTCTTTTGACATTTTAATTATTACATTTTTAACAAAAGAAGGCAGAATTGAGGTTTCTCATAAAGATGACATGCAAAGCATAAAGATGTTTTGTGCTGGTTCACCTCTCTGGATAACTTGCTCTTAGGTGCAAATCACCCATGTCCGGCTCAATATTGTTTTCTATGGAAAACTTTTTGGATGTCTGAAGACCTTGTAACATCACAGTTGCCTTCAAGGGATGCCCAAAAGCTTGTAAAGAAGAGCTGTTCTTAAAATGCATTGTTTTTAATACCTCCTGAGGTTTAGCAACGAGCAGACAGTTGGGAAGAAGCGTTCTGATAGACGCTGCTAAACCTCAGTTCCCCGGGCTGCTGGATGAGAAGATGTTTATTCCAGTTCTTATGATTCCCTAGGGACAACTTCGCTGGAAAAACAGAGAAAGCAAGACTTTGTGTTAAAGACATCCCAAAGTTAAACAAAACTAAATAAATAGACAGTAACAGTTATTCAAGCTGCTTGCCCTAGCAACAAGTTTGCCTCCAGAGCTGTGCCAGGCTCTGCCCAGCGGGACAAACTTAGAGTTTTTTCTAAGTCTGCAGATGCTTCTCATTCCTTCCTGCATGGCGCAGTGTTTGACTGGTCCTTCTTCCTCTTCCAGCCTGAAAGGATAGATCCCAGCGCATCCAGGCAAGGCTATGATGTCCGCTCAGACGTCTGGAGCTTGGGAATTACATTGGTAAGTGAGGGGGGTTTAAACCCTCTGCTGTGCAGTACTCTCTGGTGGGTAGCCTTGGTGCGCTTTGCAGGGTGATGGAGGTGGTTGGTGTGAAACACGTGCTTGAAGCAAAGCCCAGTGCCGCTGCTGTGAAGCATTTGCATGTTGTGATTGAAGTGGGCATCTCCTGGCTCAGAAACAATATAAATCCCTTCAAGGCAGATGGCTCTCCTGGACCGCTGAGGATACATTTAGCTGCAGCTATGTTTTGCAGAGAAAGAGATGTGAGCAGGGAAAAGGTGTTGGATCATAAATGAATTTTGTCTTCAAAATCTCAGATGAGAAGGGATGGTGAGTGTGGTGGTGCAGAACAGAGCATCCAGCCTGTGCAAATAAGCCTCTCAGAGCCCTTGGCATCTGGTGTACTTTGGCTGTGCAGAAGACCTCAGTTAATCTTGGATCCTGGTTGCTGATTCCTCTCTGGCTTAACCACAGCACTGCTGGGTGCACACACTGGTAAACGGAAAAGATCTTCGCTTCTCGAGGTGGTGAAGGAGAAGGGAAAGCAGAAGCAATAAGTATGAGCTGGTAGCTTCTGTCTTCCCCACTGGCGTTTTAAAACACTCATTTTCAGTGTCCTGCGAGGAGCAGGGAGTTGGACTGGGTGATCCTTATGGGTCCCTTCCAACCTGAGATGTTCTATGATTGTGTGGTTCTCATTATCCATTTCCTCTAGTGGTTGTTAGGATGCTCGGGAAGGGACTGGAGGATTTTACTCCCCTACCTTTGAACACCTTAGTAAGAGCATTGGTTCACTTTATAGTCAGTGGAGGAAAAGACATTGTCAACATGAAAGCATGGCATAGCCAGGTTAAATCTGGAGATGCTTCTGACGTAGGCAACACAACTTACTATTGGGTAAAACTTTCCCTCCTCTTCTCTCACCTGAGCTTTGTCTAGGGAATGGGATGAAGAATCTCATCTTAGTCTTCCTTTTGAGGGATTCAGGGTCCTTGCAGACATTTTCTTACCCTGCTTGAACTTACCTCGTGTGACCTGCCGGGTGCTGTTGCTGTCTCTCTGCAGTATGAGCTGGCCACAGGGCGATTCCCCTACCCCAAGTGGAACAGTGTGTTTGACCAGTTGACACAAGTAGTAAAAGGAGACCCACCGCAGCTGAGCAACTCAGAGGAAAGGGAGTTCTCCCCAAGTTTCATCAACTTCGTCAACTTGTGGTAAGTGTTTCTGACTGAAAGCACTTGGAATTGGCTTGTTTTGTCATTGCTAGGTATTTGGCAAGGGTCGCATGCCAAGCACGTCCTAGCTTAGTTTCGCATTCCTGCCCCAATGGGAGGGGGG